TCTTCTGGTGAAGTCTTTTGATGTACATAAGTTTTTAATTTTTAGTATGTCCCACTCATCTATTTTATCTATTTTTGTTTGTGTGGTTTTCAAAATGAACAACAAGTTCTTAAAAGAACATATTGTTCAAGACATTTTTTTTTATTAGTTAAGTTACCCTATGGTAAAATTTTAAGAAGACTTCAAGGGATATTTTTGGTTTAAGTTTTAAAGAGGATCTCAGAGCAGTTGTTTCAAGTTCGTACAACATTTCCCCCCTTTTGATCAAGATTCTTCTATGGAATTTTTGGTCAAAATGTTCAATAATGGTAGCTGGGCCCTATCCATTTCTTCTCGTCTCATGGCAAAGGAGGCAGTTGTTCATGGAGGCAATTAACACATTCCATAGCCTCCTACTTCTGATGTTTCTTATTCCATTGTTGTTCCAGGTATATGGAGACCAATAGTCCTTGGATGGGCTTTTGCAAGCTTGAGAATCCAAGTTGGAGCATTGAGGGAAGGAAAGGGGTAATGTGCTGGAAGGAGCAATTCAGAAAAAACCATGAAGAGGAGATGGCTGTCCCCTTCCAGACTTAGTGTATGGGGGTGTGGGAACAAAACCTTAGTTGAAAGGCTATAGAGAAGCCATGTCCATAAGGGAGAGGCAAGTTTCAGTTATAACAAGAGAGTAAAGGGCGAGAGAAGGGGTTTGCTGACTGGGAATCCAGAGTACATAATGGATGGATTTCTGGACCTGGAGAGAGTGGGAGATAGGGACAAAATTCTAACCAGGCCCACCCCATTGAATGTTTCCTTTAAAAGCACATACTTCATAAAAGTTAAGTGTAGAAAAGCAATTCTTTTAAAAATCCAGATTAAGTTAGTTGGTGCTCAGTTATTCCAATTTTCAATTTTATTTTTAAACATTTTCTTACACATTGACAGGAAAATTAAATATACTAGGAAATAGTACTTCATAAGTGGCTGAATCATAAGTCAGGGTGATAAAGTTAAACATGTAATTTTCAGTAATTTCTGTTAATAGTTTTCTGAATAATGTTCTCGATTGTGGTGGTGGTGGTGGTGGTGATGTGCTGTGGAGTTGGTTGCGACTCTACATATGGTTTCTGAGGCTGTAAATCTTTATGGGAGTAGAAAGCGAGGACCTACTTAGTTTTCTTTTCCAGTTAAAAAATTTAAAGAACCAACTGCTAGAACTGTTAGAACTGTTTCAGTGAATTTGCTCTGTAAGCTTTTAATCAAATTATACTAAAAGCTATACTATACTATAAAAAAAAAAAACAATAAGAAAGAGAGAAAGTTAGAGGAATTTAGCAGGGAGAATTCCTTAGTGATGGATGGGCCTTCCAAAAAGGTAAATATGTTTTTAGCTTTGTGGAGATACAGTTGGAGATTTTTGTTGAATGCTCTTTATTAATTTATTTCAGCTCTATCACTACCTGATCCACGGAACCAAGTTGTACCCAACCCAGATGTTTCTGCTATAGATGTGAATGGTTTAACACAGGGAAACCAAACCGAGGCTTCTGTTTCCCAGATCAGCACTACTGTCCCTTTGATAACAACGAGTACAGAGAAAAGTGGAGGAGCGTTGGTGGTCCCTAGTCTCTCACCTGCTGCGCTGCTCCAGGATGTGCCTGATGACAATGAAGATCCTAACGTCGATGAGGAAGACGATGAGGAGGTTCTTTTCTCTCTGAATAGTTCCCCAGCCACCGCCAAAGACATTCAGGACAATGGAGACTATGGAGATTATGAGTGGACCATCCGCCCCAGAGGCCATGAGCCTCAGGAAACCTTGGAAAAAGACAGGGATTACATGAGAATTGAACAGGCACTAAAATCTCTCAAGACCCCATCCTCAAATATAGTACAGGACGACAGCCATTTCTTTTTTCATCTTATTATTTTTGGTATTTGTATTGCTATTCTTTATATTACATACCACAACAAAAGAAAG